TAATAATAAATATGTGATGAATTTAATAAAATTAAAATTTACATTATATTTTACATATTTAATAATTATAAATAAATATTTTGACATTTTGATGTTAAAAAATCTTGTTTTTTCTTTTTCTTTTTCTTTTTCAACTTATATTTCAATATTTATAAACTAATCATCATATTACAAATGTATAGCACAAAATGCAAATCAATTACTGAAAGAAGTATAAACTAATAAATGAAAACAAATAAAATTGGACTTAACCTATGGGCGATGGTAGTCCAATATGAGATACAAGATTAATGCTTCCACGACTTGAATGGCAACCCAACTGCGCATCGCTTCTGACTGCACGGAAGAAAAGCGCTGCACTAAATGGACCAAAATAAAAAGTTTTAAAAATGAAAACCTGAAAGGTAAAACAAACGTCGCCTGCTGATTTACTACTTAGCCACTGTACCTGCACCCTGAATTTTTTTTTGCCACGTAGTTTCCCACCGACATCGAGAGCCGACGTGTTTAGACTTTGGACAACAACCAGTAAAACCTTTTTTTTTTCAGTAAAGAATCAGAAAGCTTTTTGACTGCCAGAAAATTGAAGATGCTGTGAGCCACACGGTTTCAATTCAAATACCGTGGTCCTAATTATTTTGGCTTTTGTGATGACCGTTTTTTCCGGACTCATAAAAAGGGTTGTTCTTTTTCTACTTTTTAAGAAAAATAAAGTAAAATTAGCCTACTAATATTTTTAGATATCAAAATTATTTATAAAATTATTTAAATATTTAAATATCATTTGTATAAGATTATTTAAATATTTTTATTAAATTTTTTATGTATTAATTTATTAAAAATATTTAAAATCTTGTTATTATGTTTTCTCTCTCTCTCTCTCTCTCTCTCTCTTTTCAATATGGAGCATAAGATATTAGTGTGAAGCATAAGACTATATAAGTGCTATACATATATTTTTGGTATTAATCCCTAATATTTGGTAATCATATTAGATTTAATCTAATTCAAAGTCAAATCACATCTAATCTCATAAAAGAAAAACTCTTCTAATGCTTATTTTTTTATTTACAAGATTAAAATTTAAGATTTTATAAAAGAAAATTGAGTTTTTTTCACTTAAATTAACTTGTCGTTGGTACATATCATAACTTAATCACGGTACATTAACCTTCAAAAAAAATCTTAAAAAATATATATTTATTATATTTTTAATCTATACTCCACATTTATATATTATAAAAACCCTTAATTGTTTTATAAATTAATTATCTAGGACAAAACTTAAAATAATATTTCGAATAGGTATAAATAAATGTCAATTTTGGTACTTCAACTTTAGTATTTTATATAGTTTTTATTCTTCAACTTTTTATATTTTTTTTAGTCTTTTAACTATTAAAAATATGTTTTTTTAGTCATTTTATTAATTAATCTGTTAATGTTGCCTAAATATATATAATTTTAGTTTTTCAACTTATCATAGATCCTTTTTATTCATCAATTTTAAAATTT